ATTTAAGGTTGGTAATTACTCTCACATCATTTAAAGTATTCAAGCAGTTAAAAAGAAGGATATGAATAGTCAAAGACCTCATACATCTTATGTTGCCCTCATAATAAACACAAATACATTTTAGTTCTGATTCATCATTGGCCACAAACATGTACATACAAAGCTACTCTCCAGCTAGTATAAATTGGCATAGCAACTTAAGTGTTAGTTGAGCAATGATGATTTACACCATCTGTGCTTACAGCCCATTACAAGCTGATTTCAATACAAGTACACCAGCCTACAGACGAGTGACTAGCAGTGAGTAAGAGCTAAAAGAAAGCAGGCGAGGGGGTTGTTTATTGTGACAATTATCTTAATTTCTGGAATGTGTTTGTCATTTTTTTTTTTAATGTATCACCTTTATTTTTTTTGATGTTGTTATTTAAATATTTTCTCTTTAGATACACAGAAAAGTGAGAAACGTCAGTAGTTAAGTTTCTCGGTTACTGTAGATTTGTCTGAACCTGCTGTTTCTTGAGAATGGTATTTCATTATTCTGTTTCCTGATGACAACATGTTATTATGCTCCTTTTCTGTAAATAATATTTATTATGATCTCCAATTTCAAATGCCTTCTCAAAACTTAATCTTGTTGTTTCATACAGAAGTACCTTAACCATCAAAATAGCTTTTTTTTTTCTGTTTAAATATTAGGATTGACCAAAACCCTCTAAGCTTTATAAAACCCATCTACAGAACCAGGAATTATCACTTCTTCCTTTGTGTCTTTTCACTGTCTTTTGCTGTTTACTATGCAACCTATATATAGCCTCTGTATGTGTGTGTGTCTCTCTAACTGCAAACTAAGACAACAATTGTTTTCACAAGTGCTTAATTTTACAAAATGTGCCTGCTCAAGTAAGTAAAAGAAGTTCCTATTTCTTTTGAGAGATAGAAAAGAGAAGAGGGAGAAGGATGAGTTATGGGTTAAATTTGGAGTTTAAGAGAACTTGGTTCAGTTCTCTGATCTTGCAACTGGCTTGCTATACTACCTTGAGTGAGTTACTTTATCTCAGTAATTCATTCTTATATCCATAAAGCATGGTATCATGATACTCCTGCGTCCCACAAAAGTCTTATAAAAACACAGGGTACTCAGAAACTATAGAGATAGGGATCATGTAGATTCCTAGAGTAATATATATAGGATTTATGAAGTAAGGAGATACAAGGAAGCAGACAGCTGATGCTCTCCCTCCTTTTTCTCTGTACTTTCTGCTGCTCCTGTTCCTGTAATTCTCCCTTTCTCTTCCACTGCTCCAAATCATCCACCATTGTCCGACAGAAAACAAGAATATTGTTCCATCTTGCCTTACATTCCTCCCAGCTCAAAACCACATATCTGCATTGAACCTAGACCTCTCCACTTGCAGACTAACCCCAGCTTGTTTGACATGTTAAGAATCTGGCAGTTCCAGAGAAGCTACTGGGAAGCAGAGGTGTGAAAACTACCCACAGTGACTGACTAGTGAGGCTATTCTCACTTGAGCATTTTCCAGAGGGGCAGAGCTTCCCGAGCCCTCTGATACACACATGGAAAGGAAGAATGGGGAGATACTAGTTATTCTCAACTCACTGTTTTCCTCTCAGCATTGCTACTCTGCACCCTACATCTCTGATGCCTTGCATTTCTCACACTGCTCAAACTCCTCCTCTCCAGACTGAGCTCTGTGGTCTCCCACTGATCTCCATCTGTGAACTTTTCTCTCTCTTTTGCTCTTTCCCCACCCTCAGTTCCACATGTTCTATTCTTGTTTCCAAATGCTCGTATTCCTATTGCTGCTCTCCCATAAACCTGTGCTGCTCCGACTGCTGTGCCTTGCTCTCTATGCCAACAAAGCTAGTAGTATCTAAAAATGTTATGAATGTTTCAATGTGGGTATCTCAGCAACCCTTCTATTTTTAAATACCCTAAAGAGCTGTCGGTAGCAGTTATGTCTGGTACAGCAGTCTGCTCTGAAAGCAGAATAGGCCAAACTACCCAATGCCCCTGAAACTGTCCATGAAAAGGTCATCACCTCACTTCCCATCTGCTGACTTGGGTTTCCCCTTAATCCATTTCAGCCAAAACAAACCAGTTCAGCTGACATCTACTAAACTGCTTAAGCTACTCTGATTGACTTCGACTGAAAAAAAATTTGGGAGGGGTTGTGTGCGCAGCTTGCAGGCAGGTAGGAGAGGCGGTAACCTTTGGCAGAAGGGAGCTGTGACGGCAGCGACTGGGAGCTGTCTGGGAACAGTAACCTATTCAACAACCCCTCTTCAGCCCGTGGAGGAAGTGAGAACCCACAAGGGGATTTTAAAGCATGGTAAATTCTGTGCTTTAAGTTCAGTTCTCACTTATTTCGCAAGAGGTTCCTCTGGCAAACCACTCCTTCCCCCTGCGCAGAAAACATGATGACGTTACTCAGGCTGTCATTCATCTCTCCCCTGTTTAATCACTGCTAACTGATTAACCAAGTGAAGTGCCACAAAATCCATTAGCTGGAAAAGGAACAAAAAGCTACGCTTGCTTTTACGAATCAATAAATAGAAACCTTTGTAAACAAAGTGCGTAACCTCCAGGTCCTGGACGTACCCACCTGTTTCCCCCTCCCGGCCCCCCAGCAATATGGGCAGCGAGGGGTGACACTCAGCCGCTCCTGCCAGAAGCAGCATGTGAGCTGGTAGGACATGGGGGAGTATCAAAGTTTGAGGGCTGTTGCACAGCCTGCTGGATAGCCACCATAATGTCTTTTGCCCTTGTTTTACCCCCTATCGACACTTCAGGTCTTCTTACCTCATGAGCTTGAGAAAGAGGCACAAGAAAGGGACACAAACATTAACTCTTTCTGTACTGTTTTCTCAAAAAGGGGCAGTGAGCACTGAGACCAAAAAAATAAAAATCTGTTGCCAGGAACATAGAAAAATATGTTTCATAGAATTGACAGACCTTTGAAAACCTGGGGAGGGAAGGTCAGCAGCCAGGGACACCAGCAAAGCCAGGCAGTCCCTCTCCCAGATGATTCAGGCATTTACCAGACTACGGCCTGGCTCTCCCTTTGAGCTTGCCCTTCAGATCATTTCCAGGAGCCTGCTGTGCAAGGGGTAGGGAGGAACGAAAGGCTTTCAAGGCAAAAAAAAAAAAAAAGTTAAGCTGGAGTTAGACTCTGACACGCAAACGAGTTACTGCTCCTTCACGAGTGACCACCTGCCAGCTGAGGCATGTCAGCTGCCCACACGCACACGCTTTGCCAGTTGCAAACAGGAGATAAAGGACGCGACCACTAATCTCAGTGAAGCAAGGTCAGATGCTGCCGTGTCTGAGTCCTCCAGGCTCCTTCCCTTTGTGTCTTCAGGTTAGCAACAGACTTGTGCGGTTTCACCCTGCAGTGCTTTCCCAGATCAGTCTCTCTCAGCTCAAGCTCAGCTGAAAATAAAATGCTATTCTGAGTAATAACTTCAACCTGCAGGAGTTAACTGTGGTATCGCTGTGGCTTAGTTGCACCTTTTATTACATTAGGAAAAAGAAAAATTCTGACTCTATATTGAAAAAGCTTTAACCTGCTGTCCCTAGACTTTTCTGTATATATCCTTATTTTCAGCTAAAAATAACAACATTCCGGAAGGATCACAAGTACTTACAGTTTTACAATAAGGAAACTTTTTCACTCTCCCAATTAAAAAAAAAAAAAAAAGAACAGAACAGTTATGTAAGGTGTTACCGAGTTGAGACAACAAAAGGGAAGAGAGAATTGACATGTCTTTCCTCCTCACCACGCGCCCCTCTCCGCTGCTCCCCACTTCTCTTTGTGAGGATAACCGTGCTGGAACTATTTGTTCCTGCACTTCTCTGGTCTGAATAAGCTGGGGCACTGGCTGTCACCTCGAGTTTCTCTGGCACGCTCTCTGATCCCCTTCGTTGAAATGGGTCAGTTCTAGCTCCGCTAACCGGCAGTTAACTGTGCAGACTTTCAATACTTTGGGGGTTTGCAAAAGGTAATATCAGGGCCACTGGATAATTGAGACAAAAAGACAAAACTGCTCTTTAGCTGCAACAAGACGTGCAAAACAGTGACTGTACCGACGTAAATTGCTTTACCACAATTTCTTTGCTGCTTTTGACCTTTTATTTTGTCACTGCCTTATGGAGACTGGACTTCTCTTAGGACTTCTCCCTTGCCCGCACGCTCTGCACTCCCTTGCAGAGGACGTGACTGTTCAGTTAATTCAGTTAATGAGCCAACAGGGTTTCCTCATGAGAGACAGCTCGCAACTCCTTAACACCAGACCCCTCATCAAGGTGCTTCTTGGTCAGTTTTGCCAGCACAGAGCCCACCACCGTATAATTTGTTCGGCGCTTCCTGAAACACCAATCACACAAACCATTTCACCGAAGGCCTTTCCCAAGGCACTCGATTTGAAGAGACAGCCACCAAAAACATAAGGACGCGTGCGGTTAATCCTCTTTCTTGCGCTGTCTTCCATGGGTTTGTGGCACGGGGATTCAAAAGCCGTCAGAGGTGACTGACTGGAGTTTGAATTCTTTCATGTAGGAGGCCCTGCACACGCAGCGGTGCCGACAGGCTCATTTAGTGATGATGTCTCTGAGGGAGAAAGAAAATATTCTGATGTATGCAGAATGGGATGCGTAAGACAGACAGGACCCTTAAAACAGCTGAAGAACGCACCTAGTACATTGGTACTAGTCAGAACAGACACGTGTTAGACGAAAATACTTGTATTTCTGTTAGACTCAACTTTCTTCAAATCACTGCTTTTGGATTTTTTTTTTTTTTTTTTGAACCCAGGTTATTTAAAGGGGAAGGCCCTCGTGTAGCCAACAGGGCGCTCTGCCCACATCAACACTACCGCGGGAGGGTTTGACGCCTTAACGCTTTAACGGTTCTGCATCGCACGGCACGGCGT